GGAAAAAAAAGTGAAATGAGGAGGAAAACCCTAGGCTGAACCAAAATTCAGGCTAATGGTTCTCTCTAGGGTTAGGGGCAGGAAGGATGGGCCAGGAAATGAACCCATAGCAGATACAGAAATTGGCTAATGGATTTATTAGTGTTTACTGTTATTCTTTGGCTGAGCATGAAAATACAACAAACACCACGCTGGGTGGTACTGATCACTACCTGCCTTCACATTCAAGCTGTTTCCCCACAGTGACTCTGGGCTTGCTGTAGATAGTGCTTTAATGAGATTTCAGCAGTTAGTGGTTGTTTACAGAATTCGTTGTAACATAAATGGACTAACTTAAATTAGAAAAAAGTCCTAGAAAAAATTAGGAGACGTGTTTGTGGCAGAGATCATTAACTTGAAGATATCTTATGGCCTTAAACATAAGCTTGCTTATTCTTGTGCAACAGTTAGAAACTTTTCTTTTTAATTTTTTTTTCTTCCTTTAGCGATTCTCTTGCCTTTTGCCTCCCAAGTAGCTGGGATTACAGGTGCCCACCACAACACCCAGCGTTTTTTGGTTTTTCTTTTTGTAGAGACGGGGTCTCACTCTGGCTCACTACAGCTCATACTGGTCTTGAACTCAGCTGAGCTCAGGCGATCCACCCGCCTCAGCCTCCCACAGCGCTGGGACAACATGCATGAGCCACCATGCCCAGCCAACAGTTAGAAACTTTATTTTTTTTTTTTGAGACAGAGTCTCACTCTGTCACTCCAGGTAGAGCACAGCAGTGGCATCATCTTAGCTTAGTGCGCCCTCAGGCTCCTGGGCTCAAGTGATCCTCCTGCCTCAGCTACCCAAGTATCTGGTCAGGTGTGGACCACCTGGCTAATTTTTCTATTTTTAGTAGAGATAGAGTCTTGCACTTGCTCAAGCTGGTCTCAAACTCCTGAGCTTGGCCTTCTAGAGTGCTTGAATTACAGGCTTGAGCCACCACGCCTAGCCAGAAACTGTTTTGAAATTTAGTCTTACATAGTATTTTCTTGTTTGAAAGATGTTAGATATGGTTATCCAAAGCATGGCAAGATGTCTTTGCTCTTTCTACCAAACTTACACTGAGTCAAATCTCAAATCTCTCAACAGACTAAACTTCTGATTTAGCTCAAGTCTGTGGTGGTTTTACACTGCAAAGTTTCACTTTCTTATGGAAGGAGCAATTAATTGTCTTTATCATTAGAAGCTGGATGAAGGAACAGCAAGCATCTTCATCACAGAAAGGTGTGAAGTCCTCATAGAGGACTTGTATGTTAGTAGACCCAGACAAGGGAGGTGTTTATTTCTGTTCACAACACTAGCATCAGTAATATGTAGTCAGTCAGGAATTCCCACTATCCTAGGGAAAAAGATTATAATCCAGTAGCTGGAAGAGATGTAATCTGCATAATTATCTAGGTTTAAATGATCTGGCAATGGAAAATGTCCATAATTTAATTTGAATTCCATAATAAAGTAAATAAGGTTACAAAGGGCTTCACAAACAATTCAGACTACACTGGAAAGCATCCTAATTGACCCTTGAATTAGCAAAGTAAGCATTAGATCATATCCTAGCATACCTTTTAGCAATGTTTTAAAATATTTTACGAACTAGATTCACTGGGCAAGTGTTTTAGGAGGAAATAATTTTCTCACAAGTCCTGCCCAGCAGTGAGTCCGGAAATACTCAAGTACAGATGGTAAAACCATAAAAATTCTTTGTAAGGATAGTTCTTAGATTACTGTAAAGCTGCTAAAGGACAAGCTGTGTAAGAACAAAAGATCTGAAACGTACATTTTTACAGGTGTTGAAACCAATAGTGAAAATCCATATTCATTTTATTGACTGCTGAAGTTCAGTCTCATTCATCTTCCAGCCTTCTTTGATATTGTCTTTCTGAGGCTTTTCTACGGTAGACATCATCTGTATCAAATAAAAAAGTTTGCTTAGACTTTCTGAAAACTGAAGACTTTAAAATACTCAGATCTGAGTAATTCAACCAATAGTTTAGAAATGTCTATTTCTGATCTTAATGTTTAACTCAATGCCAAAATAAGCTCAAAAAAAAAAATTTTTTTTTTTGAGACAGAGTCTTACTCTGTCACCCTGAGTAGAGTGCCTTGGTATCATCATAGCTCACAGCAACCTCAAACTCTTGGGCTCAAGTGATCCTCTAGTCTCAATTTTTAGTACAGATGCAGGTCTTGCTCTTGCTCAGGCTGGTCTTAAAACTCCTGAGCCTAAAAGGATCCAGCCACCTCAGCCTCCCAAAGTGCTGGGATTACAGGCATGAGCCCCTGCATCCAGCTCAAAATAAACTTAATTAAAACATAATTTGAGTTAAATGAGGACTATATTAATGGAATTCTAGACTTAAATAGCAAAGTAAGCATTAGGTCATATCCTAGCAGGGAAGTTTTAAAACTTCCCTCACTTGCTTCTCCCCCTACCTCCAGTTTCTGTGTTCTGAAATCATCCTACTTAACTAAAACCTCAAAGTGCACCCTCAAAGGCACTTCTCCCCCTAGTTCCATGCTGCTTCCTCTCCTATACCCAAAAACCTTCAGGTGGGGAAAGGCAGTCAATTTCTTTACTCTCAACGGCTTCTTTTCCAAACTATTGATTCTCTACCCTCATTAAAGAAATCTCTTCCTTAAGGCGTATGCCATTTGACTTTTACCACCTATGTGCTGGCACCTGCTCTCTGCATCTTCAGCCATTGAAAGTGAAGTCCTCTAGGTTAGGTTTTTTGCCCCTGTCTCCAGACACCACTGCTACCCGAGGGCTGAAGCTCTAGCTCCCTTCACCTCCAGCTTCTGTCACTTGGAATGCTCCTATGAAGCAAGTCTGCTCAGACCACACCTCCTACCCTAGGATTTCACCAACATTTTCCCCCAGATTCTTGGTTCTTGGCCTGTCTTCCCCTTCTTTTTTTTTTGGCTGGGGCTGGGTTTGAACCCACCACCTCCAGTATGTGGAGGCCCTACTCCTTGAACCACAGGCACCACCTTTTTTTTTTTTTTTGAGACAGAGTCTCACTATGTCACCCCCAGTAGAGTGCCATGGTGTCACAGCTCACAGCCACCTCAAACTCTTGGGCTTAGGCGACTCTCTTGCCTCAGCCTCCCAAGTAGCTGGGACTACAGGCACCTGCCACAATGCCTGGCTAGCACATGGCTATTTTTTGTTGCAGTTGTCATTGTTTAGCTGACCCAGGCCAGGTTCAAACCTGCCAGCCTTGGTGTATGTGGCTGGCACCTTAACCACTGTGCTACGGGAGCCAACCCAGTTTTTTTTGGTTTGTTTTTGTTCTGAGACAGAGTCTCACTTGGTCACCTTCAGTAGAGTGCCATGGCACCTTAGCTCACAGCAACCTCAAGCCTCCCAAGTAGCTGGGGCTACAGGCACCCATCACAACACCCAACTATTTTTTAGAGACAGGGTCTCATTCCTGCTCAGGCTGGTCTCAAACTCGTGAGTTCAGGCAGTTCACCCGCCTTGCCCTCCCAAGTGCTAGGATTACAGGCATGAGCCACTGTGCCTGGCTTTTTTTTTTCTTTTTTTGAGACAGAGCCTCACTATGTCCCCCTCGGCAGAGTGCAATGGCATCACAGCTCACAGCAAACTCAAACTCTTGGGTTTAAGCAATTCTCTTGCCTCAGCTGCCCAAGTAGCTGGGACTACAGGCAACTGCCACAACGCCCAGCGATTTTTTTGTTGCAGTTGTCGTTCTTCAGCTAGCCCGGGCCGGGTTTGAACCCACCAGCCTCAGTGTATGTGGCTGGCACCATAACCACTGTGCTACAGGTGCCAAGCCTGTCTTCTCCTTCCTGCCAAATCAACTGGCCTTCCTTCACATTCTTATTAATGTCAAAATCCCCAACCACAGATTAATCTGACTTCCTCCTTTCACCAGGTCTCACCCTACTTGCTATGCACTGCAGGACCAACTAATGCCTCTAATTGGGTCCATTGGGATGCCTGACAATCCTGTTTCCTCAGAATACCCTTCTTCACCCACTCTCAAATGGCCTTGAACTCTCCCCGCACTGGGAAAAGTCATCAGTAAAGAACTCTTCCAACCTAACTAAGAAGAGCTACTCCTGCCATCCAGCTTTGATCCCTTTCTCTCCCACTCAAGGGTCAAGTATCTCCAGCCTCCCTCCACACGCCCCTTCCAGATCACCTTTTGCACATCCTCCAGTCTTTGAGAGGGTAGAGGGGTTACAGCCCTTTCACAGAGTCAGACTTCTTTAATTGCCTGTCATCAGTGATTACAGACTTACCTGATTTCCTCCTTGGCCCTGGCCATTCTCAGCCATCCTTAAAATATTGGGGTTTCAGTCTGACTTTCACCACAGTTTGCTTGTGAGTGGTCCATGTATCCAGATTTCTGCCCCAGATATGCCTCCTGAATTTCAGATTTGTGTAAATACCTTCACCTTAGCACATCCCAAATGAAGCCCAAGTTCACCCTGCCTGTGTTCTGCACATTCAGGAACTATACCACCCCTGCTGTTGTACCTAAAGCCTCCACTCCTCGTCTACCAAGTCTACTCAGTCACCCAGCCCTGGCATTCTTCCCTTTGGATGTCTCTAACCCCGCCGACCCCTTGGCATCCCTTCTGCCCCCAACCTAGACCAGCCCACTATCTCAAATCTGTACAGCCATACAACCTAAGTGTTGTGCCAATCTCCTCTCCACAGAGAAAAGGAGCTATTCTCCCAAGTGATAATCTGCTGCTTAAAACCCTTCAATCTGGGCAGTGCCCATAGCTCAGTGGGTAGGGTGCCGGCCATAGCACTCTACCAAGGGCAACATAGTGAGACTCTGTCTCAAAAAAAAAAAACCCTTGGGCTTGGCGCCTGTGGCTCAAGTGGCTAAGGCGCCAGTCATGGACACCCAAGGTGGCGGGTTCGAATCCAGCCCGGCCCGCCAAACGACAATGATGGCTACAACCAAAAAATAGCCGGGCGTTGTGGCGGGCGCCTGTGGTCCCAACTACTTGGGAGGCGGAGGCAGGAGACTAGCTTGAGCCCAGGAGTTGGAGGTTGCTGTCAGCTGAGATGCCATGGCACTCTACCCAAGGGGACAGCTTGAGGCTCCTGTCTCAAAAAAAAAAAAAAAAAACCTTGGCTGGGCACCTGTGGCTCAAGCAGCTAAGGCACCAGCCACATACGCCTGAGTTGACGGATTTGAATCCAGCCTGGGCCGCCAAACAATAATGACTGCTGCAATAAAAAAACATAGCCAGATGTTGTGGTGGGCGCCTGTAGTCCCAGCTACTGCTACTTGGGAGGAGGAGGCAGGCAAATCGCTTGAGTCCAGGAGTTGAAGGTTGCTGTGAACTGTGATGCCACAGCACTCTACCCAGGGCAACAGCTTGAGGCTCTGTCTCAAAAAAAAAACTCAAAAAAAAAAAAACCTCAGGCGGCACCTGTGGCTCAGTGAGTGGCTCAGTGAGTAGGGCGCCAGCCCCATATACCAAGGGTGTCGGGTTCAAACCTGGCCCTGGCCAAACCGCAACAAAAAAATAGCCGGGCATTGTGGCAAACACCTGTAGTCCCAGCTACTTGGGAGGCTGAGGCAAGAGAATCACCTAAGCCCAAGAGCTCAAGGTTGCTGTGAGCAGTGAGGGCAAGAAAGTGAGACTCTGTCTTTAAAAAAATAAAAAACCCTCAATCTTTGTGATCCATTCTTGGTTCTCCAGTCCCTTTGCAGCCCTGCCCAGTTACCCTTCTAGCCACTTCCCCCTCCCTCACTGTTCGTCCGCTTCTATCACTCAAACACATGGCATACTCTCAGACAAGTCCCCATGTCTGCCCTTACTACTGCCATGAAGACACTTTCAACTCCACAAACCTTCCCCTCATCTGGCTGACACCTAATCAATCTTCAGGTCCTCCTTTACTTGGTAACCGCTTCCAGAAGCCTTCCTTGCACTTTCTAGTCCAGTTGAGGTGCCCACCCAAGATTCCTATGCTCCTCTGATTTGCCTCTCACAGCACTGATCATGCTTAATGGTAATTGCATTATCTGTCTTTCCCATTACAGCACTTCTGGAATGAGGAACTCTATCTTGTCCATTATATCCTCTCAGAGGTGCTCTTTCAATACAGATACAGATGAATGGATTGGATGGATGAACGCAAGGACTAAAAATCTTTAGTAATGACTAATATAACATTTTTTCTTTTTGAGACAGTTCCACTGTTGCCCTCAGTAGAGGGCTATGGTGTCACAGCTCACAGCAACCTCAAACTCTTGGGCTTCCGCGATTCTCTTGCCTCAGCCTCCTAAGTAGCTGGGACTACAGGCCTCCGCCACAACGCCGGGCTACTTTTTGTTGCAGTTGTCGTTGTCCAGCTGACCTGGGCCGGGTTGGAACCCGCCAGCTTCTGTGTATGTGGCTAGCGCCTTAACCACTAGGCTACGGGCGTCAAGACTAATGTAACAATTTTTAAAAGTGAAGGCTGGCGGCTCGGCGCTTATAGCTCAACCGGCTAAGGCGCCAGCCATGTACACCTAAGGTGGCGGGTTCGAATCCCCAGCCCGGACCCGCCAAACAACAACGATGGCTGCAACCAAAAAAAAAAGCCGGGCGTTGTGGCGGGCGTCTGTGGTCCCAGCTACTTGGGAGGCAGAGGCAGGAGACTCGCTTGAGCTCAGGAGTTGGAGGTTGCTGTGAGCTGTAATGCCACGGCACTCTACCCAGGGGGACAGCTTGAGGCTCTGTCTCAAAAAAAAAAAAAAAAAGTGAAGGCTGGCAATTCACAAGTGGTAAGATGTTTCAGGAGAGGAGCAAAGCAGAAAGAGCCTAGGGCTTGGGGGAAGTTTTTCTGAAAAAGGAACTGGCCTGCCCCCAGTTAGTCCTAAGCAAAGCAATGCCAGGCACCCTTTTCACAGTCCAAAGATCTGGTACCAATGACTGCCCTGTTAAGACAGTGGTAATTAGTCAAGCCAGACAATCGCTCCCTTTGGAGTTAGGCTGAAAAGTCCGGAGAGGACTGGCCAGAGCAAAGCAGTGTCCATGAAATCTGCAGGCTCCACCCCCTTCTATACTGGCTGTAAACAAATTTCTCAGGCTCCAACACTGGAGGGGGTGAAAAGCAGGCGCAGGAGGACTGGAGGTACGTACCCTCTCCTCAAAGTGCAGAGAAGTCCCAATGCTGGAATGCCAACGTGCCTGGCTTACAGACAGCCAGACCAGTCTCGACTGCCAAGCGAAAGAAATTGCACTTGCCCTTCTGAGAAGGATAAAGGATAAAAACAGCTCAGCGCTCTGAATGGAATGAGCGGTCTGCAATCTAAGAACACTTCCCAAGAGAACGATTCCCTGACGCCGTGTGCATTCCTGAAGGGAAATGGAGGCTGCTGCACCCTGACTTACAGAAGGTCTCCTGGCCCACGCGCACTTTAATCATGATCCACTCCATCATTCCTCCCATGACAAAAAAGAAGGGCAGGAACCTGTAGATACCGAGCCGCTGCTTCCCGGGCACCCGTCGCAAAATGCGCCTCACTTGGGCCCTGGAGAACATGCTCGCCAAGGTCGTGGAAGGAGGTATGGCGGAACCAGGCGCCAGAGGAACGGCGGGACGCAGCCGGCACCTACCCGCCCGTCTTCGCTACCTACTGCCTCCAGGAAGCCAAGCGACAGCAGCCGGGCTTGCGAATCCTCCAATAAGAGTACAGCGAGGCGCGCGTGCTCTGTGAGGCTAAACTCCGACGCGAGGAGCTGGCGCAGGCGCCTGGGCTCTGGAGGCGGGGCGGCAAAGGGGGCGGGGTCGTTCACGTGGTATCCCCCGGCCTCCCAGGTATGGGCCGGGGCTGCGAGTTGGCGGCCGCTCCCCCTGATCTGCGATCGCCATCTTTTTTCTTAATACCCTGGCAAAGTGAGGACCCTCTATGGTGAACTAATCGTGTACTGCACCACACTCTAAAATGCAACTACGCAACGTTTATTTCGGTGAATTTATTTCGGTGAATTTAGAAGTGATTGGTGATTCACTTCTAAATAACTGAATTTGATATGCGAGGTTGAAAGCTGAACTTTATCATTATCACTAAAGTCTAAGTAAGCGCCTTGCAACAAAGAACCCTAAAATTAATAGAAGCTGCCTTGTATGGGGCACTTACTGTTCTACAGGCACTTGTAGGTGCTCTATTCACAATAATCACTAAAAAGCGTGATGGTCAAAGAGCCTTTGACAAAACCACAGCCCTGCTCTCAAAACTCAATTCCGAATGGGGACTTTCTTTGAAATGGGGGGCTTTTTCTGACGCTATGAGGATTTAGTGAGGTAATACAATCCACTGACACATGCCTGAAGCATGATAACTGATCAATTAACATTAGCTATAGTATGAGTTATGATGATTATAACGATTTGCTGAGCCCTCTTAACATGTACTCCCTTAATTGAACTCAATTTTAGGAATTGTATTTCAGATCTTAAATAAAATCTGTTTCTAAATTTCAAAAAAAAAGAGAGAGATTAAGCCACATAGAAACAGAGCTCTGGGGTGGCGCCCGTAGCTCAAAGGAAGGCACTGGCCCTGTTTCCGGGAGGTGGAGGGTTCAAACCCAGCTCCGGCCAAAAACTCAAAAAAAAAAAAAACAGAAGCAGAGCTCTGAGTCTAGAAAAGCCTCCACTCATCATTACATCCTCTCATACTGCCTCACTGTACTTGATGAAAGTATCTGTGAGAGGCTGTCACACCATTACCTAGAGCTAAAATAACAACTAGAGGAACAGCTTTGAGAGTGAAAACAACTATTAGACAATGTAAGAAAATTAAATGAAACCTTAGGACAAATGAGTTTGATGATAGGGACCCAAAATATACAAAAACAGACTAGAGGAGATAGAGGATCCCCAAAAGGGTCAGAGGACCGGCAGTGAATGGCCTGAGCTGCCACCTATAACCTGGCCAGGAAGCCTCATTATGCTCAGAGTTGACTGCGCCTACCCCACACACTCCCACCCCAGCTTGTTGTTGGTTCTCTTTTCTCCTGGTGGTTCTGAGGGCTGGACGGAGGGCTGGACGACACAGGGTGTGCATTTGTCTGGAGAAGGTTCATGTTGGGTCAGGTCACTGGCACCCTCCTAAATGGAACCCTTGGGGAGGCCTCCAACCATGAGCCCTTGGCTTTGATCCTCACCAGTGCCTGGCCCAGTGTCTGACATACTGCATGTCTTTAGCCAAGTTTCAGTGGAGCTTCAAATACACATGCACCCTGACCCCCAGGAAAGGAGTTCCCAACTAGCTGGTTCCCCACCCGCAGGGCCTACCAGTGCAGGGTCAGCCTCCTCTGGGCCCAGTGCAGTTTGTGCAGGCTCAGAAAATAGATATGAATAGAAGAAATGTGGGTGGACAGCAGTTCCAAGACGTTAAGAGTAATTTCCTTGGAAAGTCTAGCGATATTGCTAGAAAAGATCAGCCATCTCAAGAGAAGGCCTGAGCCTGAAGCCAAGAGCTGAGCGGATCATGCAGCCATTTGCTATGGTCAGAACCAAGTGGGTGCAATGACCCCTGCCCCACTGCTCTGCAGCGCACGGCCTAGTCGTCCGGCTCTGAGTTCTAAGGGGTCACCTGCAGGTACCCAGAGAAGGGCCGCTCAGTGGACGTTGGCTGCCCTTCAGGTCTTGCGGTCTCACCCAGTATGCACTGGGGAGAGCGTGGAAAGGGGTTTTTATTCGCTAAATGAGTTGAAACAGCCCAGGCTCTGGTTAGTGGGCAGACAGGGGCTGGAGGAGGGGAACAAGACCCTGGGAAAGGGGGGACAAGGTCCTGGGGAAAAGAAGCACAAGATCAGGGACCGGAAGGACCAGAGGCTTGGGGGAGGGGCTGGAGGAACCAGAAGCGCAGGGAGAGGCGGAGGACCCCGGGGCTGGAGACCTGGCCCTCTCCTGTGCCTCGGTGGTACGGAGCCTCACAAGGACGGCGGCCCTTAGGCCCTCCGACTTCCGACAGAAGGGACCGCCATCACCACCGTGACTATCCAAGGGGGGCGCAAAGTCCTCTGCCGCGCCGGAGCTGGGGGGTGGGGGTCGGGGCGTCCGCCCCGCCCGCCCGACTCCGGACCTCCCGCCCCCTGGGCCGAGTGCCGCACCCATTGGCCTGACAGGCTCCGCGCGCCGCGCCCATTGGCCAGCCGCTGAGAGGAGCACGCGGCCACGGTGGCGGGCGGGCAGTCGGAGGGAGGACGGCGGCGGGCTGGGCGAGGGGCTGAGGGGTGCGCTGGCGGCGCTCAGTGGCCATGGCGGGTGCGGGGCTGCGGGCGGCCGCTTGGCGCTGGCTTCTGTGCGGAGGCCAGGGCGGCCCGCGAGCTGCCTCGTCCTCCTGTCCTGGTTGTGGCCCCCCGGGTCCCGGCGCCCACTGCCCTGGCGCTCCGCGGTCCGCACCCGCCGGCAGCACCGAAGTCAACTCACACTTGTGGTCTCGCTACCAGGACATGCGGAGACTGGTGCACGGTGGGTGAGCCGGAGCGGGACGTGCGCCTGGGGGTGTCTCCCGCTTGCAGGACAGAGCGCCAGGGCACCGCCTCCGGGCCACTCTAGGGAAGCGCCGGGTGGGACTCGCTGGGTCCCCGGAGTCCGAGGGTCGGTCAGCTTTTCGGGAAAGGCTTGGGCGGAAGGGTTCTTCCCTGGCTCAGTCTACAGGAGCTTGAGGCTCCTGGAGCGGCCGCACTCTTTCCTTGGGTTCCCGCCTGCGGGGAGGCCGCTGCGGAAACTCCCCCAAGCCCTTGTTCTCCGCGGGTCCTTAGTGTGGGGGGTGAGGGGTGATATGGACAAAGCCAGACAGCGGCGCTTGTCCGGACAGGCTCTTGGGGATGGCCCTACCTAAGCTGACGCCGGCGGGACTTTTCAGACACTCTTGATTTCACTCTGGAGGTTCAGTGCACTCGCAGCCTACAAGGCGAAGGCGTTGGTGAAACCAGACCAAATCCCCCCCAGTCGCCTGGAATCCAGAAGGGCTACTGCAAACCTTGACCAGGGCTGCGCAGGGCACTTATCCTAGGGTCCTCGTCTGACTGCCAAATGGGATGATGAGGTCTGAGACACCCCTTCCAAAGCAAGGGCAGCCTGGGGTGCACTGGGGTAGCCAGAGAGCTGAGCGCGCTGGACATCTGCCCACTTGTCTAGATATGTCTAGAGGAGCCCTGCCTCTGCAGTAGGCACATGTATGTGGTTTGGGTTTGTGGGTCTTATCACCACTGACCAGCTGGATGAACCTCAGCAAACCTCATGCTCTCAGACCTCTGCCCTCAAGCTCAAAACACAGTCTTCGGACCTCTTTCACAGATTGTGAGAACTAGAAAAGAGCCAAGCTAAGAATGGACAGGGGAGGTTCCAGAGGAACCCCAGGGTTGATGTGGCTTTTGTTGTCAGATAGACAAAGTAGCCCTATCTGAAAGAGTCCAATGGACTGGACAGGAGCTTCCACTGCATCTGTATGAAGACCTAGGGAGTGATGGGTGAGTGAGACTCACTTCTTGACAAGCTGAAGGCAGAATGGTGTAGTCCCATGAGCCAAGGTTGTTGAATGGTTATTTTGAAGCCCTTGGGCCTCTATCAGCCCTACCTGGCCTGTGTGGTAACATTGAAGGGCCAGGCTTAGGGGCACAGTGATTAAGACAGGGACAACCTGGCTCGGCGCCTATAGCTCAACCGGCTAAGGCGCCAGCCACGTACACCTAAGGTGGCGGGTTCGAATCCCCAGCCCGGACCTGCCAAACAACAATGATGGCTGCAACCAAAAAATAGCCGGACGTTGTGGCGGGCGCCTGTGGTCCCAGCTACTTGGGAGGCAGAGGCAGGAGACTCGCTTGAGCCCAGGAGTTGGAGGTTGCTATGAGCTGTAATGCCACGGCACTCTACCCAGGGGGACAGCTTGAGGCTCTGTCTCAAAAAAAAAAAAAAAAAGACAGGGACAACCTGAACGCAGATCTCAACTCCATTGTCTACTGGAGTAAGGATTAAATAAGACAGTACTCCAAGGCATCCACAAGTGAGTGTCATGGCTGCCAGGAAAGAGTTGGCCCCAGGACCTAGACCCATGGGCCCGTGTGGGAGCTTGGGACTGAGGAGAGTGAGGGCTGGACAGTGAGGCTGTAAAGGTGGCAGACCAATTCAGGATAGTGGGGAGGGCACATCTTCACCTGGCCCTACACAACACCACCACTATGGAAGGGAGTGGGACCCTGTGCCACCCAGAGCTATGGTTTTCTTGGTCCAAAAATCAGGTCAGGAAGCTAACTCCTTCCTCATTCTGCTTTATTCTTCAAAGGAGTGTCTGTCTCTGGGCCCCTAGGAACATTCTCAAGGACATAGACAAAGGCCTAGATTGAGTCACGGGCATGGGGAGGGTGAGGCTCAGGGTCCTGGCAACACCAGGTAAGGGGCATCTGAGAAGCAGCTGTGTCTCATATGCATCCAAATGAAGAGTGTCCTGTCCGTACCCATGGCTCTTCTGCAGAGCCGCTGTTCTGTGCTGGCCTGGGAACCAGCCACATCTTTTCCCCCACCCACACCCTACACTTGGCTCCAAAGGAAAGAGGTAGGGGCAGAGCCCTGTGTTCTCAAGGAGCCTCCAAGGCAAATGCTCTGGGCATAGGAGCACATCAGTGAGGTGTCTGCCTCTTGACTGCAGTAATTGCCAGACACACTGTGAGGCCAGGGGCTTCTCTGTTACTGGGGCTAGTTGTGCGCTGAGTCGGGCATCCTGGAGACTTGGACCTGGAGTCTATGCAAGGCAGTGCCCTATGCACCTAGTCCAGCCTGCTATCCCCTCCCTACATCCCCTATTCCTGGAGCGACATGGGGAAATTGGGGATAGGGAGCTGGTGAGAATCTTAAGAGGTACATCACCCATTTAATCCTACGTATGTGCAGGGTGGGAATGCCCCTTAGTAGATATGTAGGTTAGTATAATTTTTATTACCCCTTTAGAGACAAGGAAACTTAGGTCCAAGATCTGAGGTGATATTCCTAAAGTCACAGCCATGAAAGGGAGGGTATGAGCTCATCCTCAGTGCCTGTGCCTGTTCCACCACATCCCTTTTCCCATCAACCTCTGCCATTATACAGATGGGGAAATCAAGGCAGGAGACCACTCTGCTGTTAGTCAACTGTGGCCCCTTGGGAGCAGCCAGAGGCTGGGTGGGGGGTGGGGGGTCCTGACTACATCCCCAGAAGGGAACAGCCTGTGTTCCAGAACCCAACATCACACTTTCCCCCCTGTTGTAATTAGCAATGTTCCCTGGCTAGAGCCAGCAAATGTCATTAGGTGGGCTGGCAGGCGGCTGAAATCTGATTAGAGGGGCCTGGCTCTCTGGGCTATAGCAGGTGCTTAGATCCAGCTCCAGGCAAGGTGGAAAGGCATCACAATGGCTTCAGCCCCATAGTCTGGTTCAGACAGAGCCAGCACCCTCTGGGTTGGAGTCCCCATGTGCTATCCCATGGGTAGCTGAGAGAGGAGTTGCTTTCCTACAGGGACCAGACAGTGGTGCTCCTGAGTGGTTTTTGAGCAACAGGGAAGATTTGCACTATAGAAAGATCCAAGAGCAGCTGTCCTGGGCTAGACAGATAGGAGCTGAGTGCTGGCCTCCCTGCCTCCAGGGTGCTGCCAGGGCTCCAGCACAACTGTGTGCCTGATGGGGCTTTGTGGCAAGAGCCTGGAGGAAGCACAGGCTCAGTGTCCCTGATGGGCTGCAGGTGACAATAAAGCACAGGCAGGTATAACTAGGGTACCCAAAAGGAGGAGCTCCATTATGGGCTCAGCCCACTGCCAGCTCTACCTTACCCAAACCACATGATTCTGGGCAAACGAATTTTCTCCAAACCTCAGTTTCATCATTTACAGCATTAGGCTGAGAATTGCCTTTGTAAGGTATTTCATGGGGCTTACAGAGCTGGGCACCCATCAAGTATACAGGATCCACCAGCTGCTATGGTATCACCATCCTTATTGTGCCACCTCTTTGCATCTCCTGCCTTTAGACCTCCTGCCCCCTGAGGTCTGCAGTCTCCTGAACCCAGCAGCCATCTACGCCAACAATGAGATCAGCCTGCGTGATGTCGAAGTCTATGGCTTTGATTACGACTACACACTGGCCCAGTATGCAGATATACTGCATCCTGAGATCTTCAGTGCTGCCCGTGACATCCTAATTGAGCACTACAAGGTGAGACCAGCCAGGCAGGCCCAAGAGGCTAGGGTACCCCAGTTATACCTGTGTTTTATTGTCACTGCCCCAGAAGTACGGCTTGATCTAAGCCCAGGACTGAATTATAGGGCTCCCCTGGCCTGGCAACTGCTCTGGGCAAGTAGCTGAATTGACCCCCCAAGGTGGCCCTCTAGCCAGTTTTGGTAGTGCTACTGGCTTAGGCCTGGCTCTCTTTACCCCAACAGTACCCAGAGGGGATTCGGAAGTATGACTACAACCCCAACTTTGCTATCCGTGGCCTCCACTATGACATTCAAAAGGTGAGTGGCTAGATGTATATAGGGGCTACTTTCTAAGCCCCGCTCCCCTCTAGAGGGGTTTCCTCACCCAACTACCTCCTCAGCCTCAAAACAATAGCCTCCTCTTGGTATTCATGATTCCCTGGGTACCATCCATCTGGGGCTTTGTGTGAGGTAGAAGCCAGCTCAGGGCCAGCATGAGAACTATGAAAACTACCTCAACATGAATCCTGGTCCCTGGTGCCCTCAGAGCCTTCTGATGAAGATTGACGCCTTCCACTACGTGCAGCTAGGAACAGCCTATAGGTCAGTGCTGACTCTGCCCTGACCTTACCCTATGCCCCAGCCTATGCTCTGCCCAGGCTCAGGACCACTTTGGACTGATAGCGTCTGTGCCCCCACTCAGGGGCCTCCAGCCTGTGCCGGACGAGGAGGTGATCGACCTATATGGGGGCACCCAGCACATCCCACTGTACCAAATGAGTGGCTTCTATGGCAAGGTACACTCCATCCATCCACTGCTTCCCATAGCAGCCCAATCAGTGATGTCACTGTGGATGCTGGCTGGGAGGCTAAGCCTACCATCGATGTCCTAAAGCAGATTTGGAGCTGTCAGTCTCCAATGCTGGGGGAGTGAGGCCACATGGGTGTCTGAGACAGTGGCCCCTTCCCTAGGGCCCCTCCATCAAGCAGTTCATGGATATCTTCTCACTGCCAGAGATGGCACTGCTGTCCTGTGTGGTAGACTATTTCCTAGGCCACAGCCTGGAGTTTGACCAAGCACACCTCTACAAGGACGTGACGGTGAGGACTCTGGGCCTGCCCCTTAGATAGTAGGGAAGGCCCTCCTAGACCCATTGCACCCTCACTGTCCCTACCCTGCCTCCAGGATGCCATCCGAGACGTGCACGTGAAAGGCCTCATGTACCAGTGGATTGAACAGGACATGGGTAAGGGTCGATGGTAGCCCTGCCTTCTGAGGTTGGCAGGGTTGGCCCTCACAGACCCATCTTCCCCCATTAGAGAAGTACATCCTGAGAGGGGATGAAACGTTCGCTGTCCTGAACCGTCTGGTGACCCATGGGAAACAGCTGTTCCTCATCACCAACAGTCCTTTCAGCTTTGTGTGAGTCTAGCCCCAGTGTGGAAGGAGGGGCAGGGCAGAGCCCAGGCCCCGATGGGGTGGGCAGGCACAAAGCCACTTTCAGACTTCCACCTGTACCCTCTACACAGGGACAAGGGGATGCGGCACATGGTGGGTCCTGATTGGCGCCAACTCTTTGATGTGGTCATTGTCCAGGCAGATAAACCCAGCTTTTTCACTGACCGGCGCAAGTATGGGCCTATGGAGGGCTGGCAGGGCCAGGGAGGGGGAATGGAGGCCCTACGCAGATGAGGGGACTGAGACGGGAGGATAGCCCCTTGCTGGCATGTGGCCATCTACAGAAGGGACCCTGCCACAGACTTAAAATTAAGCCCTCACCCTTGCTCCAGGCCTTTCAGAAAACTCGACGAGAAGGGCTCACTCCAGTGGGACCGTATAACCCGCCTGGAAAAGGGCAAGATTTATCGGCAGGTGAGGGCCACTTGGGGGGACAACTGGGGCACAAGGCCTGCACTGCTCCTGGACCCTGACCAGCCCTACACCATGAAGCTGGAGCCAAGGACACCTGGGAAGGGCTGTGAGGGAACAGGTCTGGGTGTCAAGAGCTTGGCCTCTGGGTCAAACTATCTGGGTTTGGTTCCAGCTTCCCTGCCCAGTGGCAGAGGGAGGTTGGCCTCATCACCTGACCTTTCTGTGCCTTACTTTCCTCGTCCAAAAGAGGTCTAATACTGAGTTTTGGTATAAAGCCCTTAGAACGGCCAGCTATCACTCCATACCCAATGTGTGGCCCTTCTTAGTTGGGACTGCTCACTCTGCTAGAGCCGGAACAGGTGTGGTTGGGGCCCCTTAGTTGGGCCAGCGCTCAGAAGACCTCTTTTTGTCTGGCTAGGAAGGTAAGAGTTGTTCTGGTGCTGGGCCGGGGGATTAGGTGGCTATGAGCTGAAGGTGATTAAGGTTCAGCCCTGGCTGGAATGTGGAAATCCTGGCTGAGTTGGTCTTCTTGCGGGGGG